CCAAAACGTTTAGATCTTCTTATTTTGAATTTGTAAATCTACAAATACCTATATAGTTGTTATGTTGAACTCTTATTCAATCAAAAGAAAACATTTTCCTCATTCACTCTCTCTTCCTAACGGATCTCTCTCTCTCTGTTCACTTGTTCTTCACTTACTCATCTTCACAAATCATTTACTTACAATATATATTTATGTTTCATATGTGCTATATATCAAATAATCTAATAAAATAAAATAATACATATATTAAGTTTGATCAATATTTTAATTATTTTTATAAATAATTCTAAATCAGTAAAATATTATAATTTGTAGTTTTTAACTAATTTAATATATTTTCACTGTATTTTATCAAGTGTTGTTTTGCTTCATTACTGTCCTGGTTTTCTTCATTGATTTTGTAACTTTAGGTAAGAGCTTTTAACAAAATGATTTAGCCGGCTAAAATGTTATTTTGTTTAATCACTGATATTGTGAAATTTGTATGATCATATCACTGATAAAATATCTGTGGAACTGCAATAGGTTGATACGCCCGTAAGCTGTTTGTGACCAAAGCTTAAACCACAACTCTAATAGTAAACGAGAGAGCAAAAGCCTTAACGTAATCTCAACATGCAAAAAAAAAAAACTAGATTGGTTTTCAAAGCCTTCTAAATTCTTTTAACGATTTTGTTTCTTGCAGGGAGGATGATTCCAAGATGCTTGATGATCTAATCATCAGCATTTCTAGTTCTTCTCCTCTGTTTCCTATTGCTTCCAGGCAGCAACTTCGACGTGCATCAGCCACTGGCCGCGCATCAAGGCAGTTGACATTAGTGAGTGATACCTATATGAAGCACGTACCCCAAAGCCTGCCTAGGTCTGGAGAAGCTGGACTTGAGAGCCAAGACCATGATTTGTCTGATGAATCGCCTTCTCCTGCAGATGGTCTTGTTGGGATGTATCGTCACAAGACAGCGGTCAATGCATTGCTGGATTTAGAATCTAAGGATACTGTTCGTACTGTTGGCATTTGGGGTGAGTATGACGTTGGTAAAACGACACTCGTGGAATGTGTTTTCAACGACATCTCACACCACTTTCAACACCACTGCTTCCTACGCGATGTCAACAACATCTACGAAAACCGAATCTCACCAAGTTTACTAAAACATCTTACAAGCAAAAAGAGTTCCGATAACATCTTTGATGCCATCAAACCATTTCTTGTAAACCGACACGTCCTGCTTGTTATCGATGGTGTGCATGAAACTCACCATGAACAATTTAAGGATGCAATGACGGTTTCCCGCTGGCTTGGTCCTGGAAGTAGGGTTATCATGACATCTTTGGCCGACTATAAGCTTAGCTCATGCCAAGTAAAATATATCTACCATATGGAGTCTCTGAGATATGAGGAAGCTCTTCGACTCTTCTCTCTTTGTGCTTTTAAGATGCCTTACCCTCTTGTTGGTTTTGAAGGGTTCTCCATTCGTGCTGTTCACTTTGCTGGACGTCTTCCTCTAGCCCTCAAAGTGCTTGGTTCATTATTATATGATAAAGACGAAGAGAGTTGGAAAACAACATTGCGCAAGTTTGAAGCATCACAAGATAACGGTAGCCGTCAGATATCAAACTATATCGGGGCAGGTGAATACCTTCCAATACGTCAAATAGAACTGGAACAATATGTCAGAGAAGATGAAGAACATTCAGCTTCATATCATATGTTGCTTTGACAATTGAAGTGAGGATCATGTTCTAAGCTTACTCAAAAGATTATGCCAATGTGCCGCATCCAATGAAAGTGATGGTCTTCTATTATCTATGTCGATAGCTTGCGACACTAATGTTGTTTAGCATTCAATAAAGACTTAACTGGAAAGAAAGTGATGTTGTCCTTGTTGTAGAACATGAATAGCAATAGCTACGCAAAAGATGTAATACATTTTCTTCTTGTATCCTGAAATATGATATGTGGCTGTTGTAACTGGAGGACTAAGATCAAAGAAGGTTAAAACTGAGAGGAGATGCTTGCCAGATTATATGAAATCAAAGTCAGTGCAGAGGGCATGATTCAGGAAATACTACTCAGGTCAAAACGATAGCCACTATTTCACATTAAAATCACTTTTTTGCCAATTGCACCGGAATAGAACCTGGAACAATTCTCGCATCAGTAAACATAGCAGCCTGATCCCTGATTGATTCCACTAATTACCTGAAGCAAATAAGCAAGGAAAAATAGACATATATTACAAGTTATCACATAAGCATATATGATGAGATGTCAAAGATTCAGAACGCTAACCAGGATTGGTTTTGACCAAGCGAAGAGCGCTCCGGACAATCCTAACGAGACGCAGTCCACAGGAGTCCCTGAGACAGAACAATAATATCAAAGCCTTTGAACACAGAAACGGTACTCACATCATCTGTATTACGACACTAAACTAGCACAACAACTAGAGGATCAATGGATCTTGTTTCAACAAAGACTACAACCTTCAGATTAGAAATGTTGTGAAACTTTAGAAAACTGTATTAACAACCACTCAATCAAATCAACATACCTGAATCCTCAAAGGCTGTAGCACCTTTGATGTTAACTGAACTTGCAGCAATGGTTTCTCCAGGTGTCAGAATGAGAGAAAGCATCAAATAGCAGAATTGGAACGATATGTCGGAGCAGATGAAGGAGATTACTAACCTTCATATCAGATATTGCTTTGAAAATTATAATGTGGATCATGTTCTCAGCACACTCAAAGATATGGTCGATAGCCAGATAAAGTTTAACTGATTGTATTTTGTGTAATCTCTATATACATACATAGCTCGCTACATTAATGTTGTTCAAAAAAAAAATGTTGTTCAGCAGTCGATAAGACTGACAGGAAGACTTGTTATCCCTGTTAGAACTTGGATAATACCAAGATTTGTTACAAGTTATCAAAAGGTTGCAACACTTGTGTGATTTATGGGTGGTGTCATTAGAGAACTGAGATCACAGAAGGTAACTAAACCAAACTTTAAATAGTACCCATAACCAAAAATGGTTTTTGATTGACCTAACTAAAGAATGTCCAAGTGTTCTCCAATTCTTAAGATCTAAGAGAGAAGAGAATCCAGAGGTCTTGTTCTGCTCTTTCTTGGTTTTAATCTTGTCTATCACGTCATCTTCCCAAATCAAGCTAAATCCACAAGCCTTTATCTCCGCGGAGGGAGACTTAACCTCCTTAGATAGTTGCAGGTTTGATTGGATGCCAAACTTGTTGATTAAGTTGCTGTTACATATGAGGCCTTAAGGCCACCTATTCTATACCGCTATCAGAGGAGCGCCTAAAGGAAACGCCCAACTGGAGAGAGTCAGCAAGAGAGTGTGGGAGGAGACGAGCACGTGAAGGAATAAGGAAGGGATCGGAGGAATCTTCGTAGCAACACCTCAACACACGCACATGGGATGTCTGTGATGTGGTTGCTGCTCTTTGGCGTTTAGTCTTATATAAGTAGTAGTAATGAATAATAAGTTGGTTATCGAGAGAGAGGATGATCTTTGTAGTACGAGAGAGAGTACTCCTTTGTAAAACTCTAAAAACCCTTGTATTTGCTTTACTTGTTATTGTTATTGAAGGAATCAGTATCTTTCTTTACAAGTTGATCTAATACACCTGAGGACTTGTGAGGGGACCAAAGAAAGACAATCGCGTGGCGGAACAAAACCAACATAACTGTGACGAAGAGCGTTTCGTGGCGATGGAAGGAAAGCTGTCCACGATGGAGGAACGGATAAGTGCGATGATGAGGGCTAGGGAGTGGGTTTGAGAAACTCGAATTGAGTGCCTTTTCCCACGCCTCTGTAGATGTCTTTTGACGGAGATATGTGCCAAAAAAATCTAGCGCTGAAGGAAGCCCTTGAGCAAGCTGAGAAGCACGGATTGACAGTTGTTCGTAGACATCAGAAGGAGCTCGGCCTCCTTCAAAAGCAACTTGTTTGAAGACTCGGATCGAATCATCATGTCCCAAAAAGTTTACTTGGTGTACATTTTATAGCCGCCCATAATAGTTGAGCAAGCCCAAATTTATTTCGTGAAGTCATAATGATTTGGCTTGCTGGTCCAAACCAGGGTCCTCTATTCCCAAGGGGGCGGGATTCGAATCACAGCTGGAAACCCTTTATCACTTGAGTTAGAAGCCTCGGTTTAATATTTATTCTTATTAAAAATACAATTAATGTTTACAAATAAATTTATTATTTACTTTTATTATACATTTTTCTAATATTTATCAACCAATAGTGATTAATTAATTCAAATATTTTTAATTAATGTTTCTGAAAAATATACAAAATACCTAAAAAATCTAGGAAGAGAGAATATGTGTCAAAAATTCATACTCGTAAGGAATGAAATTTGATAACCAAATAATTAGTAGATGTTAGACCATTTAAAGCATGTAGCATTATTTTGAGAAAATAATGAGTACTCCCTTCGTTTCAAAATATAATTCAAAATATTTATTAAAATTATATTGGTTAAAAGTTATGGAGAACAATACATTATTAAAAATAATATATTGGTAATTTAAAATTCATAATTTTTTAATATGTATGAAAAATACTAAAACATGCATCTTATTGAAAGGAGATTATATTTTAATTGCAAGGTTTGAATGTCTTTATACATAATAAAATTCAAAAATTAAGAAATTTCTTAGAAACTATTTATTTACAAATTTAAAAATGTAATTAAAAATAGTATTACAATTGTATTTTATTACACTACTAAATTAATATATTTTTAGGAAACCAATTGTTGTTACAGTTGACAAGTAATCTCTTCTTCAAGCTGTCTCCCTCTACCAATTAAAGCTTCTCCCTTTCCTCTCTCTCTCTCTCTACAACATCTCCGTTAGACCCGCTCTGTGTCCAACCTTCTTCCCCTTCTCTCACTAGGGTTTCTGATCCATTCAACAACAACACCTGCGTCTCTTCTCTCTCTCTCTTTCTATACACGATGACCTCGAAGAACAACGGCTTGTCAGCGGCGCTTGTCTCGAATCTCCAAGATGTGCTTTCCAAGAGAAAAGGAGTGAACGATGAATCTGCATCGGAGGAGGAGCCTCCCTCTACTTCTGTTGCGGCCAAGGAGGAGGAGAGTGATGACTCGAGACCAATCGTTTTAGTTACGAATGGAGATGGGATTGATTCGACAGGGCTCGTGTCTCTCGTTGAGGCTTTGGTTAAAGAAGGGCTCTACAATGTCCATGTCTGTGCTCCTCAAACGTGCGTCCCATCTCACCCCTCTTCCTTTTGTTCATATTCTTTGTTAAAGTTTCCAACTTTCGGTGACCCAAACTGAATTGGAATGTGGCAGGGATAAGTCGGCTTCTTCACATTCTATGACTCCTGGAGAAACCATTTCTGCAAGCTCTGTTAATATCAAAGGTGCCACCGCCTTTGAAGTTTCAGGTTTGTGGAAGTTTTCTATAGTTTCACAACATTTCTTATCAGAAAGTTTGTTTCTTTGTTGAAACAAGATCCATTGATTCTGAAAATGTTAGAAAAGTGTATACTTTTAGCCAGTTTAGTGTCTTAATACGAATGGTGTGAGTACAGTCTCTGTTTCATAAGCTTTGATGTTAATGTTTTGTTTCAGGGACTCCTGTGGATTGTATCTCGTTAGGATTATCAGGAGCGCTTTTCGCTTGGTCAAAACCAATACTGGTTAGCTATTTTTAATAATCATCTCATTGTATATGTTTTTTTTTTTATCTCATGTTTATTTACTTCAGGTAATTAGTGGAATCAATCAGGGATCAAGCTGTGGTCATCAAAGGTAGGGTGCTTTTGCCTTTGTACATAACTATATATTCTTTTGTTTCTCCATCTGCTATGTGTTTGCTGATGGGAGAATACTCCAGGTTCTATTCCGGTGCAGTAGCTGGAGCTAGTGAAGCCTTGATTTCTGGAGTACCCTCTTTGTCAATATCACTGAACTGGTGAGTGTGTCATTGGCATGCGTGCGTGCGTGCTGCTGTAGAGCTAGTGACTCTGACGTTTAGGCCATAATATTTCCCTCATCTTTTATAGGAAGAAAGGTGAAAGCCAAGAAAGTGACTTTAAGGATGCTGTTTGTGTTTCTTTACCTTTGATAGACGCAACAATCAGGGACATTGAGAAAGGAGTTTTCCCTAAAGATTGCTCTCTCAACATTGAAATTCCAACTTCACCCTCATTAAACAAGGTCTGTTTGTTTATCAGAAACTGACTCTGGGTTGTTTCGAATTCTGTTTGCTAAGAATGAACAGAATCTATGCTTGCATTGATTACCATGTTCTTTTGATGTTGTGAAGTTAGAGCCTCACTGGCAAATGGTTTAGGGAAGTTGACGTTTTCATGTACATATGAATAGGGTTTTAAGGTAACAAAACAAAGCGTGTGGAGGCAGAGTCCTAGCTGGCAAGCTGTTTCTGCTAACCGTCACCCTGGTGCTGGGAATTTCATGTCGAATCAGCAAAGCCTAGGAGCCCAACTTGCCCAGCTTGGTAGAGATGCTTCAGCTGCTGTGAGTTTACTCCTCTTATTCTAAAGTTTTAAACCTCAACTTTGTTATTACTGTAATTTGTTTCTCGTTCAGAAGGTCCAAGATTAGTTAATTAGATACTGAAATTAAGATATCTGGCAATTTCAGGGGGCTGCTCGTCGCTTTACCACACAAAAGAAGAGTATTGTGGAGATTGAATCGGTTGGTGTTGCTGCTAAAACTGATAGCCGTGTTAAGAAATATTTCCGCCTAGAGGTAAAGAAAAGTTTTGAACCCTTCTCTTTACAAACCCTATGTACCATCGTGTTGACAGATTCTGACATGTGCAGTTTGTGGCCAAAGAACAAGAACATACGGATGACGATACGGATATCAAGGCTCTAGAAGATGGTTTTGTAAGTTGTCAATTTGTCATGATCATGCTTTTTTCTGCATCATTTCATCAAAGTCTCCTTTATTCAAATTTCAAAAATCTTTTATTTTTTCCATAGAATCAACCCTCTACCTTTTTTTGTAACGACAGGTTTCTGTGACTCCACTGTCTCAACTACCAAACATAGATTCAGAAACACAAGCCACGGTAACAGAATGGATCTACAAATCCCTTAGCAATGGTCAATGAAAAAGGGCATACTCAGTAAATTATGTTACATGATTTGGTCAAAACTCTGCCAACAAATCTGGTAACTCGGTTCTGCATTTGTTTGTTCGTGTGGTTCTTGTTGTCATTTTAACCCTTTCGTTTAGTTTATTTATTTCCGTGTCCCTACAAGTCTCGTGGGGTGCTTTTGTTTGGCTTGTTTGTTTGTTTGTCAGTAGCTGTTTTGGAACGCTTACTTTTGTAATTGGCAAAAAGGGTTGGTCTGATTTAATTGTGATAGGGTTATCTGTTAAACCTGAGTAATATGATATTGCACTGATTTTGATTTCATGTAATCTGGCAAGCATCTCTTCTCAGTTTTTTACTCACTTTCGATCTCAGTCATCCAATGACAACAACACCCGGAAGAATATGTATTACAACTTTCGCATAGCTATCATTATCCAGGTTCTACAACAGGGACAATATCACTTTCTTTCCAGTTAAAGTCTTTATTGAATGCTGAACAACATTAGTGCAGCGAGCTATCGACATAATAGATAACAGAGCCATCACTTTCATTGTATAATCCTTTTGAGTAAACTTAGTACATGATTGTCACTTTGATTATCAAAGTAACATGTGATATGAAGCTGTATGTTTTTCTTCATCTACTCCAACATATTGTTCCAATTCTATTTGACGTCTTGGAAGGTATTCACCTGCCCCGATGTAGTTTGATATCTGGCGGCTGCCGTAATCTTGTGATTGTTCGAGCTCGCGCAATGTTATTTTCCATCTCTCTTCATCTTTATCATACAAGAATAAACCGAGTATAAGTGCCAGAGGACGACGTCCAGCAAAGTGAACAGCACGAATGGAGAACCCTTAACAGGAGGGAAAATCATCTTGAAAGCACAAAGAGAAAAGAGTTGAAGAGCTTCCTCATATCTCACAGACTCCATCTGGTAACGATTCATTCCGACAAAACCGTTGGAGTCGTCAAAATGTGAGGGAAGGCAATCATTCGACAAAGCAGACCTAGACATGCTTTGGGGCATGTACTTCATATAGCTATCGCTCATCAAATCCAAACTCGCTCTTTTTTCTTTTATCCGAGGGGCCTAGTAGGAAACGGAGGAGAAGAAATGCTGGATGATTAGATCATCGAGCATCTTGGAATCATTCTCCCTGCCAGGAACAAATTGTATAAAAACATTTAGAAATATATAGGTTTTGATAACTAGTCTTGTTCTTTTGTCAGTGAGGGCCTTTCATACACAATCTTCGCCACTTTCTTATGACTATAATTGGGTAGATGAAAGGTTCTTTTATTTGTACCTTCAACCGGATCTCTTTCATTAACAGGAGAATAGTTTTCATATTTCTGAACAACTTTAGCAACTCAGTCAGCAGGTTCGGCATCCATTGCAACATGCATTTATCGAAGGAGTTAAAGTCATGTGGATTTCGCTTGCTTTGGGAAGATGACGTAAGAGACAATATTAAAACCAAAAGAAAAAGAAGAAGAGCCTGACCTCTCGGCTCTCTCCCCTCTTCAAATCTGAAAAGTTGAAGAACATTTCAAAATCCGGTCAAAAGTCAGTCTGGTCATAGACTCATAGGTACTTTTTAAAAGTTTAGTTTAGTTAGATGATGGCTACTGTTTCTCTCTATCGATTTCCTTTGTCAGATGTATGCTTTCTTGATTGATTCAAATTATGTTTAAATAAATTATTAGTAATTATGTAGAGATTACTTATTAGATTGCTGAGTTAAGGTGGATGTTTATGAAGTGTTCATTGTTTCTCTGATTTTATAACCCAACTCGATTACCACATGCCCAACTCGGTCACGATTTGGAAGTTAGAACTGAGGTTGGAATTGATCTCTGTTTTCTTTTTTCTTTTTCTTTTTTTCCTTTTTTGACAACGGATCGTTGTTTCTTCTTAGTTCTTACCGTTGAAATTAAATTTTCGTTTCGTTTTGTACCTTATAGACGAAAAATGGAATGGCCCATTTGTTATCCTTCCTTCTTGGATGGACTTTTGATTCGTGTTCTTAATTATGCAATGCTAAGAGAAGTGTTGGGCCTAATTAACTATTAGTTAGCCTAACATATCATCTGATGTTATATATTACATATTTGATATTTCCATGAAGGACTGCAAATTGATCCTTTTTTTGGTTGAAGAACTTGGTAATTTTGTATGTCTTTCCAACTACAATATTTAAATAAGACAGGTGGATGTTTAGGCAGCCTATGACTCTTTTGTTTAAATTTGACACAGATTTGACTTTTATTCTTGATTACGAACACAAGAAACCATGACGTATGAGAATAAGAAAAGTCTTATTTGACTTGCTTACTGAGTGAAACAAAACACTGTGACAGTACAATCCAGTCGTCAGCAAAGTATGACTCGGCCACTAAAAGTAGTTACTGCGTTACAAATGCTAGAAAATTTCAAAGAAATTATATGTAGCAAATAGCGTATATATGTTGACCAAAAAAAAAGAAGCAAATAGCGTATATTGTGCTTTAAAGTATGTAGATCTCCAGTGTTTGTGACGTTGCATATATTAGACATAAATTAAATTATTAATGTTTCAGAATGGCTATTACGTTGCTATTAGTTTAGTACATGTCATTTAGAACAATTCTGTAGAATACCTCGGTTTTTACATATTAAGTGTAAGTATCAGGGTGTAAGTAGGACGGGAGACGTGAAGGTGAAGGGTCCCTTGACTCCCTTCCTTCGAAATGTTTCTGGCCATAGAAACAGGATTGAACTCATTATCACATTTCTATGATTGACTTAAAAAAAAGGCTTGTCTTCATTATCTCCTCCAAAGTTTTTGTAGTCCTCATTATTTTAGAATCCCTCCCAGGTATAATTTCAGTATAATTCTACATTTACAATGAACTACATAAAATTAAGTCAATAATCTTCAACATTGGTTTATTCTGATTACAAATGATGAGAATATTATATATAAGATTTTACAACTAACAATTTTATGTATCTTATGAAAATTCAAAACCATGAGCGGGTTTACGAAGATCCTCTTATGGCAGTTTTTTTACACTAAGCTGAAGAACTCATATAAGTATTTTCTACATTAATTTTCACTAGTTGCTTGATAAATTGTTTTTGGGGGATTTGAAACTCGGATCTCTTAATACATTAGAGTTAATAAAATTTCAATCAAACTTGAACCTCCTAGTGTAAAAACATTAAAAGTTCTACAAATTAATACTCTATCTGTTTTTAAAAGACTCATATTCTAGTTTTTTCACATTTTTTTGATAAAACACAATAAATTTGCATAGTTTTTTGTATTTATCTTTTCCATAATTTTAAACCAATAAAAAATCAGTTAGTGCAATTAAGTTTTTTGAAGTTTACAATTAGTTAATAAAACATGCATTGAAAATGTAAAAAAAAGGATATTTTAGAAACAAATTTTTTTTTCTAGAATATGTATCTTTAAGGAACGGAGAGAGTATTTGATAAATTAATAAACATGATGAATTAATAAATTTCACCAGTTATGTATTAGATCATTGCAAAATTTGACACAGTTTGATAAAATAACAAAAGTTTGAAAAATCTTATACAATTATATTGTCTCACAATAAACATAAATTAAATATATATATATATATATATATATAGAAACATAACAGTATGTTGTGTATTTTTATTTACAGTGAAATATATTTTAAATTTTTAAATACTTTAAATATTTTAATGTTATTTTATCATATTACATCAAAAATATATCTTCATTTTCTATACACCAAATAATCAGATAAAAAAACATGAAATTTGTATTTGTAACCTTTAATCAAAATACATACTATAAAATTATTATTTTTATCTTATACATGAAAATATGCTTCAATATATTTTATAAATGTATAACTTTAAAAATTAATAGAATGTTAGAATTTCAAAACTATTAATTTATATATTTTTACTATACTTGTACACGTTGCCAAATCATCATATATTTGTTTTAAAAAAATTCCTTCTTAGAAGATACACCATATAAACCTAACTTAATTTTACCACTAAATATAGTAGGTTACTAGTTAATCGCAAGCATTAGTACTGTTATGCTCTTAATTCAAACTAGATGTTGACCCGCGCTTAGAAAGCGCGGGTTTTTTTTGTTATAAACAAACTTTCTTATGATTTAGTATTTTGAGATTGTTATACATTATTATGTTACAAAATGATATTATATCAAAGCAGAAAATTTGTTTAAAATTATATAATTACTGAATTATATTTTTTGATTTTTATGTACATTTTAACGCAATTCTCTCTTAGATTTGGGCATTTTATCTGGATCCAAAAACTGACCAAAAATATAGGTTTCATTCGGATCGGGAGCAAAGAACACGCTGGGTATTTTTTTGAACCCGCAATCTTGGTTCAAAATCACATCCTACCTGAGATCCGACCGGATAACTTACATTCCCGAAATGTTGTGTATATTAAGTATATTTGAGTATTTCGAATATGTTTTTGTTATTACAATATTCTTTTAAGTTATAGGTTCGGGTTTTTAGTAATAGTTTGACTTTCATGTAAAATTTCAAATTTCTTAAAATATATTTTAGGCATTTGGATTAAACTTTGTGGGTATTTTCGTTCCCCGGATCAGATTTTGGGTAAAATTTAGATATTTTGAGTATTTGAATATTTTTGGGTATTTGTTTGATTTTTTGGCATTTCGGGTTTTGGATATTTTTTTGGATTTTTGGATAGTTCGAGACTTTTTCGGGTCCAAAATAAACCGACCAGGCAGTTACTTTCCCAAAAAATACATATATTTTTTTATCTATATTTAAATTATGGAAGCAAACCAACCCAGACTTGAAATGAACCCACCAGAATTCAGACCAAAAACTTTCAGATATCTAGTTGAGTTCAAATATTTAGGACTTAAAGAACTCGGATCTAAAAAATCGACTCTTATAAGATCCAAATACCTTAATGCTCATGTCTACTCTCATTTATTATACTTTG